TAATGAGGAAGCATTAGAAAAATAAAAAATTAGGAAAAGAAACTCGAATTACTAGTTAATAGATGGCAGTACTATAAGGTATACTTCCGTTAATCGTAATTACAGTTGGTTAGGAAGTTAAACACTAAAATGAACAGAGCACATATTTTTGAAGAATCCGTCAATATCTTTTTCAATCTCGAAATTTGTTTCTGTAGTTCATGGCTTAACAGGTCTCATTCCCCAGCAGAGGGTATACCGTAGGTTTCAGTTGGTTGGCCTCTGGTGTCGGGGGAGAGTCGCAGACGTCTCTATAAATCTATAATCGATAAATCTTCTCCTTAATGAAGGAAAAACAAAATGCTTAAAATTTGTACTACCTAATGTTAAAAAAGTAGATATAAATGTTAATATAAAAGATAAGAACATGGGCCTTGTGGATACCACAGTATTTTTAGGAATAACATTAGATTCTAAACTACAGTGGGGCCCACATATTGATAAACTGTCGAATAGACTTAGCTCTGCAGCATATGCCGTAATGAAGATACGTAGGTCAACTAACATAGACACTGCCAGATTAGTATACTTCAGTTACTTTCATAGTGTAACATCGTACGGAATCCTATTGTGGAGAAATTCTGGCGACATACAAACAATTTTTGTGCTTCAGAAAAGAGCAATTAGATCAATTTATAATCTTAGGATTAGGGACTCTTTAAGGGAGAAATTTAAGGAAATAGACATTATGACTGTTGCTTCTCAATACATATACGAGAACTTAATGTACATTCGTATAAATATTAGTTTGTTTTCTATAAAAAGTGATGTGCACAATTTTAATACAAGAAATAAAAATAAATTAACGCTGCCTGCAAAAAGTTAATAACTCATTCAAGGGTCTTTGTGTGCGCTTCTACAATAAGGTAAAATACAACAATTATATATCTACTATTAAAAAAATACTTATTAAAAAGCTTATTATAAGGTATCTGATTATATAACAGATAAGAACGCTTGGACTTGAGATAATCCAGCAACTGGATAGGTGATTACTTCTAAACTCATTATCTTGATTCCATTATTATTAAATTATTTTGTTATCATTATAAAAGTCCATAGTTTTTTTTCTCTATCTCTGTTTATAATGTATTGATCTGGTAATGACATGGCTTTTGTAAATGTCATTACTCTTATAAGAGCTGGTGAGTTTCTTGCTCGTTCTTCTTATTAGCCAAAAGATGTCCTGAACCAGTGGTAGGGAAAAAAATGTTGGACGATTTAAAAGTACTTTTAAGAAGTCTATTTGAATAAAGATTATTTTGAATGTTTTCTCACTTGCCAAGGGTCAGCGATTGTGCTCAAAGCGTTTACCCAACTAATAAAAAAGGTGGTGCATAGTATTATCGACAACTCTAATTCGATTTTTACTGTCATAAATCTATATGTAATCTTTATAATTTTTTTTGATTAATTATTAAAGTTAATGTCTAAATTTCATCTAATTTGTATTTTATGCTATTAAAATTTCATAAATTCAGTTTTGACTGTGACATAACCTATCAAAATATAAGTTTTAAGCTTATACTAGTAGACTAGTAGTTCTAGTTCTTCTATTTATCTTATATCAAATTATAAACCTATTATAGTTGTCGGTCAATGAATGATGATAGACTGCGAGATGTTCAATGATTGCGTCCGGTTTATTACGATGCGTACTATTCATTAATTGACCCCAATTACCATAATATTGTAATATAACTCCATGGGGACAATCATACTGTTTCACTGATATTTGCATTATGATATTTGTTGCATTGAATTTGAAAAGATAAATATGATCAATTGTCTCAGACACAATCAGCAGCGCTATTCTGTTAGGTATTACAACTGTTTAGAAATCGACGAGCGCTGCGCTGTCAGGATTCAATCAAATGAAACCTACTTAAAAAGGAAAAAAGGTTTTCGTTCATAGACGCTCTATGTCTATGCCGTCACAGTGCAAGAGCGAATGTAGATCTCCGAAAAGATGTGATCACCCGAAAACAGACCAAATGTGGATGGGATATGAACTCGTGGTCAAAATATTGTATTCCTGCAAAGGATATATTTATCATTATGACGCCTTGATCAATCAACCTAAGTGGACCGTGACAATTGGTTATAACCATTGAACTTTATAAAAAAAAAACAATATATTATTTGAGTAATATATTGAATTATTATTATATAAACAAATTTTAAGACAAATGAACATTATACAAATTGAGTGTTATATATTTTTATGCGTAACAAAATGAATATTATTTAAAACAAGTGTTATAATAATTGTCGTTATTTTAAATGTTCATTATGAAATAATAACGTTACGATAACGTTCATTTATAATTATCCTTCTATAAAACTATTAGGAATAATAATTTAATTTAACACCCTGTTTTTACATTTTAGAGGAAAGTACACACAGCAGCACATTAGGAGAAAAGCTCAACAGAAAAGCCTCTTCACAATTGAAGTTGAACTAAATGCCAATTTATTAAGATTTAAAATCATTTGAAGAAATTTATCTGTTCAGTAAAACCTTACTAAAAGTTATTTGAAATGTTCATTATGAAATAATAACGTTATTGATATAAAATTATATGAAAATTTAATATAACAAACGAAGGGCATCCGCGCGCATAAACTTAAAACTGTAATAGAAAAGAACACCTACTGTATAAAAGACACTGAAAGTCTTTTAAACAGAAGATGTTCCTTTCTTGGGCTTCACTGAGTTAATACTTTTCAATCAGATTTTAAAGCAAATATAACAATAATAAAACACAATTCGGTCAGTAAACAATTTATTGTACAACTCTCACGCGCTCTAAGTAGACAACCTAATACTCAATTATAATGTATTTATATTACTATAGCTAATAGGTACATATACTATGACTGCAGCCAATCATGGCACTCGACATATATGTCATAAAATACAAAATGAAAACACATTTATTCGATAGTGTAAATAAATAAGTAAACTAATTGAATAACAGGTTATTTAATCTATGATATACTTTATTATTATGTGTCGATGTGGTTTTTACCTGTGCATTAAGCTACCCATTTGATAGAAATAAGTTAAATCTATATTTGTTATCAAACAAAGGTGTTCAAAGTAAAAAAATCACATGTCCCGGTAATAACAACCGGGAATTAATTCAAATATCCTGACAGTTTTTTAATCGAAACATTAACTGTTTTGGTAATTCTCAAATAGTCAAATAATTGTTTGTACATACAACTGCACGTCTCTTAATCATGAAAATGTCAAATTAACTTGAAAGCTTTCATACAAAAAAAACTTGGTTATTACCATAGAAATATAAAAAAATATTTCTGTCATTATTAGGTACATATATTTGGATAACCTTATGTAATGTTGTTTGTAGCAACAGTGAATATATCATATTTTTTTTTATTAGCATGAGCATTTTCTTACAATTGTAACAGATAATTTTACAATAAAAAAAATATCAATCATGTCAATACATATCTTTCATCTCATTGATTTAATAAACAGAATATAAAAATAATAAGAAGGATATTTATCTATAACTCGATAATTCAAATATTTTATTAAGTCTATATGTATTGACATAGCGAAAATCAAATATTAAACAATTAAATACGATAATTATACATTTACTATTAATATAATGCATTAGAATCATAATAATTTAATACACTTGAATGTATAATTAAAAGAAACAACGGGAATTAGAGCAAACCAAACTCTCTCTTCTAATTTTGTGTCATAATTTTCGTTTGTTAGCATAAATCTACTTGCGAGTAACTAAATAACTACTTAACTATTAAAACGTCTATTAAATATTATAATAAGCGTTCACTACGGTGTATACATTTATTATTCAAATAATTATAATAAACAAATCTAAATAAAATAGAGAGTTATATTGTATCGTAACGTTTGTGTTATAAAAGGTACAAGTAAAGGGTAAACAGTCTGCGGCATTTAAGTGATTATTAGTCTTTGGACTCGAATTCTTTTAGGTCTGCCGGAGGTTTGCGGGCGGGATTTTACGTACTATTCACGTATATTGTCAAGTTATTTGACGATACAACGATCGACGATCAAAATGTCTGGATTTGACTCTAAAAATGTGGTGTTTTATATCACCTTGTCATTATTCATACATTTAATAGATAACAACCTAAATCTGTCACATTCCTGCAGTTGATTCTAAGCTCTACTGTCTTATATATCGTTTTTTATGAAGTGGAGAAATTTGGCATATTTGTATAACCTGACGTCTGTACTTTTACGTTGAAATAGGGATTACAATATTTTTTGAGATTTCAATTCGAAATCTTTGATGATGCCAATAATTATAATTATTTAATAATTCTAGTAAGAAATATAAACATAATTATCCTGTAAAGAACACGGCACCTGTAAAGGGTCCGAAACGTCAATAAAACTACATACAAAGGGTGTTAAATTAAATTATTATTATTAATAGTACGAAACTATTAATAATAATAATTTAATTTAACACCCTGTTTTTACATTTTAGAGGATAGTACACACATCAGCACATCAGGATACCGTAAAGCTTCGTCACAATTGAAATTGATTTAATCTGCCAACGTATTAAGATTTAAAATCAATTGAAAAAGTAAAACCTTAAGTGCTATTGAGTGTACATTGAACTGTTTTTGTAGATTAAGTTATTGGAGCGCGATCGTCTAGACTCATAATGTTATTATATTTGTACTATTTTCTTGGTTTTAGTGAATGCATAACGTGCTTATTACTTATTTTTGATGCTGTATCCCCACATAGCATCCTCGTTTGGAAGTATTTCTCTTCTATTTTGATAACCGCTCACATTCATTATTCCAACACCAATTTTTAACATTACACACTTGATATGTGTATTCATATATCTATGCTGTCTTTTATTTAAAAAAATAAGTAAACTTCTAAGCGATATATGACAAAATTAAGAAAGAAAAAATATTCCATTGATATTGCTATCAGAATTTGCGATCGATATTGAAATTAAAATTCTGTAGAGTATGTTTTGTAAACAATATATTCTAGAACGCTTAGTCAATCTTCAAATTAGTTAAAATCTAACCTATAAATATTGGCTAACAAGTTTGTAGCGTTAGCAGATTTAATGACTCACATAACATGTTGTTTATATTTATTATAATACAAGAAAAAAAAATTATCAGTGTACAAATTTTAATATAGACACATTTTTCTTCCTCTTTTTTTAACCTACTAACATCAGTGAGGAAAAAGATGTCTATGAAATGTTGATATGTATGCATTTCCCTGCTGTACTCTGAGGATGACACCTGGTTTCAATCGGCGCTGTTTGTTTACTACATTTAAAGAAATGTTAATATTTTTATATAAAATTGTATCATTATTATTATTTGTAAATATGTTCTATTAATAATACTAGACGATATAAAAAAAATGCACACCGACTAAACAGTTCCTAAATTTTAAATTTCTTTCTTAATTTTGACGTTTTGACAAATCAAGCCCATCAAAAACAACGACACCTAAGAGTTCCCGAGATTGGCCTTTATTACAAACAAAATAAACACAACTTATTAGCTTTAAAACTAACCAACCAATTTATAATAAAACTATGAATGTCAGCAAGCGCATGATTTGTTCGTGTTGGCGCGTGAGTTCTCTCCATTTGCGATTTTGTGTTCGAGCGCTATGCGATCTGCGTCCTTACCGTCTGCACTTTGAAGGAGTTTGTCGTTTAACAGGATCTGTGACAAACGAAAAAACAAACATTAATTAATCTATCTTTTTCCTCACGCCGTGTCCCTTGCGGGGTACGTAGCTGAGAGAGACGGTCTTTATATATCTTTCGCCTGCTTCACTCTCATTACTCTTTTCATACATGCTCGACAGCTTTTATGGCTTCTAGAATTATTTACCACTCCGATCTTATAGCTTCTTTCTTATGTAATATTCTCAAAGCTGTAGTTATAGAGATTTTATAGAAATTACTATCGAAAGATAAAACATTTTTGCAGCTGTTTGTCATAAAAATTTAATTTAGTACTTGTAAAGCATTATACAGTCTACTAGATAGTGGTTTATGAGTTAGGTTCTAACCTCGATCACCTGTTTGACTTAGCCATCCATCATATGACAACCTTATTTTTTTGTTTACCCATCTAATGTCTGACCGTTGCAGAAATTGCTTAACTTCTGCATCACAGTACGAACATGTTAATCACTGCACCATCGAGCTGTAGTATTTTTTAATAATAGAGAATTAATAGTACTTTAAAGATCACCCTACTTACATAAATTAATTATGTTTTTCTAAGAATCAAACATTAAATTCGTTACAAAAAAATTAAGTAAAACGAAACATTCAAAAACAAACATCTTAACCCATTAACGTAAATATCATTAAGATCCAGTTCTTAAATCGCTTGACAAATAAGAAAAAAATAAAGACCTTGACTCTATAAAAAACTTGTCCGATGTAACAGAAAATACCCGCTTTCTTTAAAAGAATTCCCGCGTTTCTCCCATAAAATATACATGTGATCGAATATAATGAGATATAAGATATAGAGTACTATTTGCTTTAGATCTCTATGGTCACCTACAATATGTTGCACAGAAATTATATTTGGTGTTGGAATCTAAGTTACGTACTTTCTATAATTTATTATACTAGTGCGTGGAACAGAACATAAGGGCGTGTACAGTAGAGTAACTACAAAAGGTATTCTTAAAAATGTGATGATCATGCAAAGCGAAAAACGCATTTTGAAATTTCTGTATATTTTTGCATTTTACTGTTCAAATAATTTTGCACGAACAAAAAAGTGACCAAATTTTTTATTTTGAGATGAGCAGATCGACCGCCTTAACGTGCCTGCTTACGGATGCGACATCTTAGCGAATAATATGACGATATTTCATTTTAAGTACTAGTTGACGTATCTTTTGGTACATCAATTTGGGACATATGAGTAAATTGGAAACCAAATAGCTCAAATCCATCTTTCTTTATCATTCGGTTTTCGTTATTAAAATACGTGTTTAAGTAGTAAAATTAAACAAAACAGCGCTATAACATCGCTAGGATAGCGTATATCCTATGGCTATAGTTAAGCAGTCGGTCTGCTGGTCGTTTTACGTAAATTAAGTTACAGAAAGAACAACAACAATCGTTCAGACATGTGATAATAATCTCTCACTTACATATGTAACTTACATCAACATGACTGTATAATTTTTTAAGGATGTTGCCATAAAATCTTGGAACTAAAATATAAAAATGTAACACACTTTAAATCATTCATTGAAAGCTTTCAAATTCTACTAAGACGCTTGCTTCCCAGACGATGAGGTTATCAAACAATGTAGGGTTAAAAGTTGTAAAATATGTTCTTTGCTAAATAAATTTATTTATCTTATAATTATTTTTTTCCTAGAAATAAGTATATTCCGTTGTCGGAAGTATTTGGTAGCGAAGATGGTCATCTTAGAGATGGGTAAAAATGTACCAGTTTATAATTAATATATTTATTATATTATTGTTTATGTTTTTCATTTTTACCCATCTCTAAAATGGTCTAACTACCAAATAGGTGGATCTATAAATAAGTATACTAAGAACATTTTAAATCTAAACCGGTACCGATGCTAAACAGTTGCGCAACAGTGAAAAATTGAGTGATATTATAAATATTTTAATATGTTAATTTTGTAGACATTTATTAAGTGAGTGAGGCCACAAAAATCATCTGTGAAAATAAGCTTATTTGCATATATGATAAATGATACGATACATATTAAATAGTCATAAATATTGAAATTTGTATCAGCCATAATTGATTTTTATTTGTTGATTTTTTAATAACATAAGACTATCATGGTCGTCACTAAAAGATGGGCCGAGTTTTTTTATTGCTCAAATAGTTCGTTAAGTTTATAGGCTGAATAATCTCGATTAAATGTTTTCCATTAAATTCCACAACTAATCGTATACGCAGTGCAGAAGTACCTTAATGAAACTATTTAAAGTTAACTGTACTTTTTATAATATACGTAGGTACTAAATATATCGCAAAAAAAACATAGGTACAAAGTTTGAATGGTTAAATATACAATGTACTTACCTATGTGCCATTAAATCTCTTTCTTTAAAGCATATAACTACAAGACGGTAAACTGGATAGAACCGAGTAAAAATATGAGCCGAATTACAAGAATTGTACATAATACTTTCGATTGCATAATGATGATTGTATGACATATAGAAAAAAAATAACACAGATTGGTATATTACTAGATTTAAATAGCGTTTAAAATATAATATAAACGTCTAACCTTATTAACGAGCGAGCGAGCAGCCTCCTCTATGTTGATGTTCTCCTTGGCTGAAGTCTCGAACCAGCCCGCGAACCCTTTCTCTCGACAGTATTCATCCATCTTCGCCGGTGAATTCACGATACCTTCCTTTTGTTGATCACACTGCGAACAAAACAATATGATATTTATATAAAACGATCTCTATCAATAGCCATATTTTTAAGTGTATATTTGTATATCATTCAAGTACTGTGCCGGTTTGATGGAAATGATAAATGAGATAGATTATACAGTTTTACAATTTATTAATAATTAAAATTAACATGGGGGTGGATTCGTTCGACAATCGGATGCGCAATAAAAAAAATTCGAGAATACCACTGCCCTGGTAAAGGAGGAGTCCGTCCACGGCGTGATGTACAAGGAGATGGCCTTCTCCAAAGCTATATCTAATCGGCCTTGCTGTAGGGGTGCACCCCTTAATATGGGGAATAACTATCACAGTAACTGTATTTAAATTGAAGTTGATATTTAAATTATAGTTTTGAATTTCGGTAGTAAGCAAAACAGCTTAGAAAAATAGTTCAACTGACGAGAATCTTTCTCTGTCAGTCTTTACTCTGCGGTAGCATAAAAATTGTGACTCGCCGTTAAGAAACCGGCTTGCAGGTTCGGTCGACGATGCGCGAGCGCACGAATAATAGGTTTAACATACAAGCGCTTTGTCTTGACTTTGCTTTGGTATTTATTTATTATTAATTTTTATTAGAATATTTTATTTATTTTTTTATATTCAGTTTTTAAGTTGATATTATTTGATTATAAGATAGTTAAGTCTATTTTGTACATACACGTATTATTTTGTTTATTGTTCTTTTTCTCTGTTGTTAGATTAGAATTAAATAATTAAGACTTAAGTAATTTTAAAATTATAACTATTGTTAATAGAGCTTAAGTAAACCGTTACAGTACAACTCTTGATTGGTTCACTGCCATACTCTGTACTCTGGCGCTAGTTTACCCAATGATGAGTACGAAACGGAACGATTGCAATGTCGATCGGTCACGATTGCGTTCGAGAGTAAGGGGGCTGGGGGCCAATCCTACTAAATAAATTTTGTTTGAATCGAAAACGGATCGAAACCGAATGAAACTACAGTTTTTTATGGTTTTCCTATTCTACAAAGTGACATATGATACAATTCCAGTTCTATTTTCGCTGGAATTGTATCGTATGTCACTTAGTAAAATAGAAAAACAATGAAAAACTGTAGTTTCGTTCGGTTTAAACAATTTTTTTTTTGTAGAATTGGCCCCCTGATCTTAATTATAAACAGTGCTTAGTTTGAGTTCCACTAACTTAAGCAAATGACTACTATCGCGACCATCCAGTAAACGCTAAACGGATCAAACGGTGAAAACATGCGAGTTTGAGTTACAATTACGTAAACTATAGAAGTAAACGTTTGTAATAAAGTGACTGCATTCAAATCTACGTTTCTATATTGCACGTAGGTACTGCAGAGCCAGCTGTCTATTTAATTTAAACGAGTTTTATCTCTTATCCTTTTAAAAATAAATATACAAATGTACCATGTTTTTTTTATTGATCAAAGAAATGAAAATATTTGCAGGACAATTGAAATTCCCATTCGTTGTCATCGGCCTATTATTTTTCCAATTATTAGGACACAACATTCCGTTACTATTGATAGGTTACTTACATAGGGAAAATTAATTATACCTACGTATGGTATTGCTAGACCTAGAGAATGGAGTGTTTGATATTAACAATTGCATGTTTTACCGGGACCAATGGTGAAGCATGCTTTGCAAAGCACGGAAAAGTTTAGATAATATTCAGTGGTAACCCATTTCATGATCGGTCCGTGAGAAATATTCCTTAACATCATAAATTGCAATTTAAGGTTTCATTTGTAGTTTTCATTATATTTGTACATATAAATAGAGCCCGAAGTATGTAGCATCGGGCTCTTTTATAATTTTAACATTCTTATATATTAAGTAGCTGTAAACAAACTCAATGTGAAAAATAAACTCATTCTAATTGTTTTATAATCCAAAACACCATATGAAACATTTTAACACATTCACTGCGGCTGCGCTAGATTAAAACTTACTTCCAGTGCTGTACAAGTCACATACTTCCCGTATCAAGAATGCCTGATATGCGTTACGACGTCTATTTTCCCGTACGTAGTCCTGACTTCAAACCTCCACAGAGACATGGAAAGTCCACAGCTGATATTTTTTGTTGTACCAACACATAGGTTACATCCTTGTGTATACAGGTCTGCAGTCGCACGGAGTTCTAAGTAATATCTTAAAAGTTACAGGTATTTTTGGAAATGGTTGATTTTACGGGAAAATACTTGCCGTGGCGCATACAACAGTCATATTGCTAGGAATGGGGTGTAATAAGTAAAATATATTTTTTTGTTTCAGATTTATTTTTGTTTATTCAAGTCTTGCATATTCAACAAAAACTATTTATAAACAACAATAATAAGTATTTAACTATGTTAATGTTAACTTAAAAAAATCAGTAAATTCTTATTTTATATTATTATTTATTTTAGGTACTTAAAAAAGCTAAATTATAAAAAAAATGTCCCTGATTTATTTATCACAATCATTTATTTTACTCGATACTTTAATCAACAGAAAAAATAACTTAAAAACGTAACAGTACAGGTTCCATAACTTGAAATGATATAAACTTTAATATTTTTTACATAACAACCTGCATTATCACGACTAATAGGAACTTTGAGTATAATTTGAGATCTAATTCAATTATGAATATAATTTTTTACTTAAGCCTAAAAGCATAGTGGTAGGAATGCTTAAAATATTTATGAATAAAAAATATAACGTTTCTAAAAAAAATATCTTAAAAAGTTTTCTACATAACAAAAGATATCGTAATTATTTATTTGATGCAAGAATCAACAGAAAAATTGTAACTTAAAAAAATACAGGTGCTACCACATTAATAGGAACTTTGGGCATTATGAAATCAAAAGTAAGATTTTTTTCTTAAGTATCATGCACTTTATTGTAACATTCTAAACACATTCTTTACAAAACGTACGCACTTTTTTAACCTTCTTATTCGTTTCACGACTGCTAAACATTTTCCTCAAATCTTTGTAGCAAATATGACATTTTTTAAATTTATCTGCTTTAATCAAGGTGTGGATTATTCGTTGTTTTTGTCCACTGGTATTTGGATCGGTGAAAGATGTCTTAGTCATGGATTCAATCATGGAATAAAATATTGCGTTCTGTAAAATCGTATTAACTGGGCACAGCACTACGACTAACTGAGGCTCCGGTTCAGTGCGGTACGGGGTTAAGGATACGGCCAAATAGTTCCCGTATCGCACTATTGTAAAATAATTACCTTTCTGTGCGTTACGAAAAAATAATTCCCGTACATTTTTATTCGTAAATTTTATACACTTCAAGCAAAGACACCGGCAATATAGGCGTCTCTTTTTTACTTGTACGAATACTTGAAGAAATAACCCTCGCACGGAGTGTAAAACAAGGACAACTAGCTGCCGCACAGAGCAGAACTCAATTACGACTAAATACTTCCCGTAACGCAGTGAATGTGTTAAACATGTCAAAGTTGTGAATTTAGTTCTCATTTCATAAATTGAAGTGAGAAAATTTCACTTGCGTTTGCGTTAAAATTTTATAAATTCAAGTGAGAAGTTTTCACTTGCGTCTGCGTAAAATTCACCGAATTTCGTGAAAACACATGACTCATGCTCGCGATATTCACGAAACGCATTCGCTTGCGAGCGTGTATCGGTCTTCACTTTCACTGGTGAACGCGTTTAAAACTCAAACTCGCAAATATGTTTCAGCCAATGTGTCACTAGATGGCGCTTTTTAGTTTCAATACAAATTCTAAACGTGCTCGCTATAGAAACGTTAACGTCAAATAAAACTCAAACTAAGCACTCAGTTGCATGTATTTGAACAAGTACTTCCATTAAAGGGAAGACGGGATTTAATATATAGGGAATTGCAATTGATATTTAGAGAAATTCTTCCTAAGCAAAGGAAATTCAGGAACGATGTAATTTACTCGAAAGTTTTTTGCTATGATCAACGAAAACTATATTTTAAATCATAATATCTAAAGTCCCAAATAATAGTTCTAAAGTATTTTGACTAATTAAAAATGGTATTATTTTTTATTGTAAATAATAAGAATGGAAATAACTACATCAGCGTCATTAAAGCTACAAATATGCTTTATTTTTTATATAGTATTCTAAAAAGTGTAGGATACCAACTAACCTTGTTAGCGAGCAGTATGCACGGTATCGGCGATCCGTCCGGTAGCTGCACCTTATTGTCGAGGTCGTTCTTCCACTTCACCACCGCCTCGAAGGTGGCAGATCGCGACACATCGAACACTATGAACGCGCCCACTGCCTCCTTATAGTACACCCGGGTCATGTTCCCGAAACGCTCCTGACCTATGACAAAAAAACATATTAAGTGCTAGCTGTTTTCCCGCGACTTCGCCCAAGTAAATTATAGCAAGCAATGATTATCAGAATTTCCGAAAATTATCCCTTTAAATGAACAAACATACAAAGTTAGGAAGTTTACCTCTTACACTATTAAGCATTGACTCAACAATCAACAGGAGGAGGAAGATTCAATGAAACAGATACGGACAGTGAATGGCTTAATGCGTAAAACAGAGCGTAGAAAGTATTTTTTTATAAAAAAAAAAACGTGTTTAAAATCCACAAATGTGTGAGTCGGACTCGCATCCGCAAAAATTAACGATTGTTGTATGGGAGCCCCCTAAATATTTGTTTGATTCTATTTTTAAGTATTTGTTGTGATTGTGGCTTGTCCACTGAAAATCAGATTATTTAAATATATGTTAGTAAAACAGGTAGTAAATACATAATGAAACCCTATACGGGGCGTGGTGCAACAAGCACTTGTCTAGTTTTTAATAGAACATGCCAAGTTCGTGTTCTTCGATATTATAATGCAACAAGAGATGGAGCGGAATCAACGACGCGCGACCAATGCTCATGTTAGATTAAGTAGGGCTATTTATAATATTACAGTAATTTTTTACAACGTTATATCGCCTTTTACTAAGAATTAGAAGTATCAGCGTTCGATGGCTCAGGGTACATTATATTCATGATCAAAGCGGGGACAGGAGTGAAGGCCAAACAAGCTGTAATTGAAAATGTGAAAACTATATTACATTTCTAAGGAGTCTGAAAGCGTGAATTTTTTAATTTCTTCGATAAAAAAAAAACACAAATCTATCCCTAAAAGTCAACATTCCTTTTCGTAATTATAATCTTTTTATAGGGAAAATCACTGGGAAACATTGATAAATATTTAAAGTCTGTAGCCGAGGGTTTTGTAGAGAATTATTTAAATAATCGTAATGTTTACATATAATTGAATTAATTTTTGAAGCGAAACATGCCTCTCTCTGTCCTTATCTATCTCATTGAAGGGCGCGGTTATTTTTTCTCGTTTTATTTTGTCTTAACGCCTAACCTTAAGCCTATTTCGCAAAGGTCTGTTAATTCGATTAGTGATTAAAAATTTTGTCTCGATCTCCTCCATACTCCGATTACGGAGTATATTAGCCGCGACAGACGAGCAAACGGTTATTTCATAAGGGTTTCCTTTTCACCGTTTGAGGTATGTAAATAGTGTCTTAAAATAATCGAATCGAGGACTATTTTGAGAAGAATAAAAGTGAGATGAACTTACACACGTCAATCTTAAACCTGCACCATAAATATCATCAGAAAGAATGTCAACAAGAATACGACAGCAACTAAACTAAACATTCTTAACATAGTTATACTTAGATCATCCATATTTTCCAGATATTCAATGTAACCTTATATATTTCAATAATTGATATCTCTTTGAGTTTCTTCTTCTTTCATTAATGGCTTATCTGCGCGTGGTTAGATTAGTTAAATTTAATTAGAAAATGTTTAGTTTCAGCCTCGTTCAGCTATGTCTATGCCTTATGTCAAGAAAACGTAGTGTAAATAAGGTTTAAATTCTCTTTAATGTCAAGTGTCAAGCATACTGTGTTCTATTCACCAGAATATACAACGTTAATGTCAACTTTGATGATTTGGATGTTGAACGTTAAACGCTTCTTAAATACTCAAAAAAATTATATAATAACAAACTAAACGGTTAAAAACACGTTTAATAACAGACTACTGAAAATTCTCTTCTTGCGTTGCTACCCGCTGAGAATATATATAAAATTTTTATGACATAAACAATATGAAAACTATAAACAGTATAATATCTAGGTACATAAATTTCGCTACAAGTGCACAGATTATCTTTATGTCAAGTGTATTCTTTTACCTCTATGGTGTTTTTGAATTCTCGTTAATGTATGTAGCTGTTCCTTATTTTTAACTAAAATATACATTTTATATACCTGCCTGTTTTGGACTAATGATTAAAACTATCTTTTGTGAAAATGCATTGATAGTGCTTTCATGGCTACTACTTATAATCTCTACCCCCAATATATTGAGGCTTAAAATCTGAAAATGCTGTTGACTGTACCTAAACCATAAGACAAATCATGTTTCTGGAGCAAAACATCAAAAGAACTCTTTCTAAACCAAAATACTTATTTCACTATGTAAGAAATCTTAAAAGTAAAATAATTTCAGATTTAATAAATACGCTTTTTTAATAATTCTTTGGTATCATAATTTACTATCTAAATAAACTCCAATATTACATGTTTTACTCGACTATGGCGAAGCGAAAAGGAGGGCTATGATTTTGGCCGGTATGTATGTATGTAAGAATGTAGATCTGTTCCATTATAACTAATAAATATTGGGGGCCAATTCTACTAAATAAATTTTGTTTAAATCGAATCGAAAACCGATCGCAAACGGATCGGAGGTGATAAAGAGCTGGTAAGTTTCTTTCGCTTGTTCTTCTTGTCAGCTAAAAGATGTCCTGAACAAGTGGTAGGGGAAAAAAAATTTTGTTTTCATAAAGATCAATTGACTTTTACAAAAAAATGTAAAAGTCAATTGATCTTTATGAAAACAAAAATTTAAAAAAAGCTTTTCGTAAACGCTCACTTACCAGCAATATCCCATAACTGCAGTCTTATAATCGTGTTCGCATCCCAATTCAGCACTTTAAGCGCGAAGTCGACGCCGATGGTCGCCCTGTAGTGCTGGCTGAAGAACTGGTGTACGTAGCGCTTTATGATTGAAGTTTTACCGGTGCCTAATTCACCGATCACCAGGATCTTGTATAGGTGCTCTCGACGTTCCCCGCTCGGGGATGAGTTCGACTGAAACAAACGATATATTCAGCTAAGGCTTTAACAGTTAACATGAGCTCTTACAATATGCTCGGTGGCGTAGTGGATAAACGCCGCGGCCCGCGATCTACTGCTTCTGAAGGCACGTTAAGCCGCTGGTCTCGGCTGCTCTCCAATCCGCATCGGGCCAGCGTTCTTGACCATTCATAAGGAAGGCCTGAGCCCATGCAGTGGGAATGTAAAACGGATGGTGATGATGAGCTCTTACAATCATTCATCATTATCTTTCCCACTGCTGTGCCACAGAACTTAGGGGAGTTTTGTGCAGTGTGGACAGAATAGAATATGCACGATGACGCGGGTCCAGTGCGGATTTGTGGGTGTTAACCACTGTAGGTGCAACAGCGGCTAACGACTTACCGTGACGTCCGAAGCAGGGTGGAGCTCGAGATAATAAATATTTAGTGACCCGTCCCTCGACCGACTTTTGGGAAAATTGGCCAACTTTAATTAATCACTGAGTCATCAAGCTACGCAGAATCATGATCGACTTCACAGCGAATTAAACAGGTACATAGAACTCGATATTACAAATCGTTTCCGCAGCGGTTCTTTCCAGATTCCAGAACCCCCTTTAGACCTCGGCCCTCAGAGTAGTTCCAGGGCAGAGCCCAGATTAAAGATTTAAGGTGCATTTAAAAAAGCGATTACCTTTAGAAAAATTTACATAAGATCCGCAACCGCAGATCAAATGCATTCACTACTATGTCATTTAAAATTCAGCTTTTATAAAGAAAATTTCATATATGAAAAGAAAGTTTTTTTTCATTCTACTCAGTGCGTAATATTGACTTATTGTTACAATAGTCAAATTTGACGTAACAATTAATAATGTTACGCAATAATACTAAAGTAAAGACTGCAACTTAAGTAAAAATCTAATTTCGAATTGAAGAACAAAATAAAGTTCATATGAACTATGTTTAAAAATTATTTACTACCAAAGGCATCTGTGGTTTATTATATTTAACCGTATCATATTTCAAAGTGGTGAAACACTTTTATGTTACTATCAAAAAAATGTTTTAATATTTAGAAAAATGCCTTATGCCTTCATTCAGGGCTCTTCAACCACTACGATCTGACCTGAGGAGCGAGGTCAAAGTGTAATTGGTACCTGATAAAACCCCGCTACGAAGTGGAAATAAATGTGGAACCCTCGCGTGGTGGGCAGGATACCAATAAAAAAGTATTACAAATCAACAATACAATAGTTATCTAGACGTAGCCTAATTCATATAGAAATATAAAATTCAAAATCACAGCCATATGTTAAAGTATAGACCTACTGTGTGTACAGTACAATCCTACTTTTATTAATAAAAAAACTTGAAAGTTAAATGTCATCTATTCATGCAAATATAAGTCAACGAATATTCCTTTTTTTAACAAATAGATAGTTACAAATCCAAATCAACACGAAAGTTTCTCCCTAAAAGGTTCCTAAGGCTAAAAATCTTATATTAACTAAGGAGAAATAAAAGGAATTATAAATGAAACACAAATAAAATAAGTAATTCATGCTCATCACGATGCAGAAAAGAAAACCGACAGCATTACAATGTTATTTAGCAGTAGTAAAAATATCAATTATAACTAGTAGAAAGAGGTACATGCAAAATATTGCAAGGAGGATGAACAAATGCGATCTAAGAGAAGATTAGCAACAAATTGAAGTCAATTAGTTGAGAACGGACTAGCATATCCTGCAGATGATGCATACTTATTGATGTATACCTATCTATAAGTAAACAGACATATTATGTCTATCACAAAACAATTGCCCAGATAACGTCATCAATGTATTGACATTTGATGTGAAATAAGATAATATATCATAGTCATTGGACAAATAGATTCACTTGAGTTCGCTTCCTATTTTAAACGTAGTCCTATCCTACTACCCTCAAAAGAGATTACGTATCGCGTAGAAATACAAATATTTGTATTAGATATTTTATTTTCCTTTTACACAAGTAGATGGCGCTGTGCAGATTTAATATATAAATTTTTGAGATTGGTGCTCGATATAATTTATTCACATTGACATAATATAACAATAAAGCCTACATAAACACTTTGGACTTTGTAGATAGTTATTTAAAATATCAGAAAAGTAAACATTGCCATGATTACGCAGCAGCTTATTCAATGATCACGGAGTAAAAATAAGACAAAAATAGTAAATACATTGTAGATAGATAACTATCGTTCTAAATTTCATGACAATGAAAGTTAAAAACAAGATTTACAAAATACTGTTTTCTTCACTTATTGACCAGACCAAGAGTCTAATACTTGGAAAGACATTGGAACTGCCGATAGCGTCTATTGTAATTAACCATAACAAAATCCCCAAAATTAGATCGTATTAAAAAAAAAGAAAACTTCTATTTTAAATAATATTTAATTACAAGTACCAAATAAAGCTATCGCATGAAATAACAACTCACACTCGAATTCGGTTTAGGCTTCGGCGACATCTTCATTCAGCAACTGTCTTGTCAAAATGATTTGTCAAGAAATACAAAAGTATGTCCAATGTAATAAATCACGGATACTATATCGAATATTCTGGATAAAATCGTCCCACATCGCACCGAACACTCAACGCACCGAACGCATCCTCGACACTAATCAAAATGAACGCAAACTTTTTGCTTGAAACTTCACAAACAACACAAATTAAAAAAAAATAGAACTTTTTATAATACACTTTGATTTCAAATGTACCGCGCGGGCAACCAAGGAGTTTAGACTATCGCTCTAGTCCGTTGACCGCCTATTTATGATCCGCCTTGGAGTGGAGCAAACATTCTTATCGGGCACCTGATAAGGGACAACTATTTGTCATTTGCACTCCTTACAATATTAGATTTATTATATTAAATCTTATACTCAACATCTTATTACCTCTATTACATTTTTTTAAATCTGTAAACTCAAAAATTCAGTACCTAGGCGCCTAATTTACTCGCGCACCGTTACAAGTGAATTACAGTTACACTAAACTTACGAAATATCTTTCAGATAGACGAAAAGATTGCGTTCACGGCCACATCGATGTCTAACAATACAATTTCAATAGAGAACACATTTGAACTTATTATTATTATACTTAGAATAACTTAAAAACTGGAATTAATATAAGACAGAAACAACTTAATGTTACATCAGAGACTCTTTCTAAAACATGTGGGTCTAGGAATTTATAATATTTATCAAACTGTGGTGTATAAATAAATACAGAAATTAATTTTGAAATATTTGTTTTTTTTAGTTTTCTAATTTAGGTAGGTATCTTCTAAAAGTCACTTCCATACCTTAAAAACAGTATCACAATAGTAACATGTTCATCTTTGGTTCATCGACATAGGTACTATGAGACCAAACAACTGAACGAAACGGTCTCATCAACAAACCGGTCCAATGGTTTCAGAGAACTTTATCTGTGATAGTCGAGATACAGACGTATACCTAAGAATCCTTTCAAAAATTAATAGTAATCGAAATGGCATATGTAATGTCAAGTGATACTGATGGATAGCAAAAAGATATGCTTTAGTTATTATTCTAAAATGAAGTGGAAGATTTCCAGCCAATCATCAACAGTAGGTAGTAAATTTTTTAACTATATGATAACACTATAATGCTGCGTTTATATTTATTCCGGACCGCGCCACCCCGCGCTGATCGATCACATAAACTTAATATGGGAATGATTACATAGCCCTGTATTCAGCAATTGTATTAGCAAGCACCTACTCACCCCAGAAGTCAGCAGATACTGAACATAAAAAATTAAAAATATAAGTTGTTATTATTAAGTAGTATGATCAAAAACATCTATCAAAATTATGTTTTTTATAATACGTCTTACCGAATTATTCGTCCCAAAAATTTGGACTTTTCATAAAAAAAAAGTAATGATAATAGGAAAAACAGAATAATTGATTTTTCATATCGGTAAGATAGATTTGTGGCATTTTATGGTCAATAAATAAAGTCAAAAAAATAAGGTAATCGAAAAACGATCGTAGTCTGTTCTGTTTTTCCAGGATTTTGTTTATTTCCCGAGAACTTTGACTTTAAATTTCGACGTTGTGCGCAGGGATGTGACAGCAAAAAAGCTACAATAGAATAAAACCTTTATTAATTTTTGAAGTAGGTTTTATTTTACTACAACTATGCTAAGACAGCGTTAAACTGTTTTGAAACTGGTTTTTTTACACTACTTTACACTAACTTGAAAATGTAGAGAACGTTCAAACAAAAAATATTCATTAGAAACAGAAGACATGGACAAAGATGTCGTGGGAGACATTCAAAAAGCATTCACTGGGATCAATAGGTTCCTCCTTTATCGAAGTTGGTAAAAACTATGGTATATTATATACCATTTATAGTAGAGCAAGCATTGCACAACGAACGGTCGGAACCGCGAACTGTCGCGGTTTACTTTGCCAGAGTTTCGTGTTACAGACACGCACCACTGGCCCGCCTTCAGGGACGCAGCTAAGGCGTCACAAACAAACGACTGCTTTCATCGGTTGAGTGTGCGAGACTGTATGTCATATTATATAATTTGTCAGTTCTAATGTTAGTCGTAAGATGATATGGGACCATTTTTTCATCATGGGGTTTTGCCGTTTTGAATTAGCTTTATTCTATCTATCTATATGCCAATATTAGCGCAAGAAAATGGGGTATATCGAAAAAAATAAATATCAGTTACCGACTCGTTAAAAAACATAGAAATGACAAATAGTTTTTAAACATATATTTCATCGTATGTATATAAAATTATAGTTTTTAGCGGAACGACTATTTTTAATTGAAGTTATACTTACATTAGATTAAGTAAATATTAAGCATGATTGAAAACGTCATAACTTATATTTGATCATCGCAGTCAAGAATCTTATTAGATAGAGGCAATATGTACGCTTCTTGGTCGCAACTCTATGGCGAACACCCCTGGCCTGTCATTGAAGTGACAAGACCGCGAATGTTTATCGGCGTGAACGTAATATAATACCACTGTAACTTTCTATAGATCACGGTAACGGATAATAGATATTTAAGGTCACGTGATATGAGATATTTAATTAGATGTCATGTCAATGTGTATATCGTCAATAAATAGGTTTTTTGCTATGTAATTATGTCGTGGGACAAATGTGATATGCGTTAATTTCGGATTACACAATAAATGAAATATTAGATAGCATTGCGTTCTTCAAATAATAAGATGATCCAATTTTTTTTTTGAGAATATTTTATGTAAATTATAATGAAGATGTATTGTAAATAATAAGTTTCGGCTCTTCTGTGCACTAAAAAATAATATTTGTACACCAATTAAAAGTCGTATGTCTATGGAACATGTAAGCGATGAAAAAAAAATCGAACCATCTGTAATTAGGTCTACTGGGACTAATCAATATTTTAAGCATTTTTCTTCAAAGAAATAACATCAATTTATCTTTTAAAAATAGGAAAACTACACTACATTTAGGTATAAAGGTAATATATGGCAAGGTAATATATTGTGATGGTCAAAAATTTAAACATTAAAAAACATTCAAATCGAAAACAAGTAACCTGCAATTTTTGTTTTCCATTTTTTATTTTTTCATAATTATAAGCAAACTCTATTATTATTTATCAATGTACTGTATATGTAATGTAAATAATAATATGCAACATTCTCAATAGCAAAAATAAACATAAATAAAATAACTATTACACTTGTTCTCGTGAAGATTTCATCAGTAAATTCAGTCTCGCTCGTCGCTCGTCCTCTAAATTTCCGGTTAAATATACAAAACATACTAATAATAATAGTAAAATTTAATGTTAACTATATTTTTCAAGATATCAAGATTAAAACATAGTTTCAACATTAAAGCTTGGTAGACCCGTGATGAACCGGTTATTCGAGTAAAATTTAAACGCGATCTCACATAATTAATTTTCATTAAAAATAGGTTGATTATTATTTAAAAATAACTGCTGCTAAATGAATAATTAATTAAAGTATTTAAATTTAAATTTTAACCGTAGTGAAGTTCTAAAGATAAATGAATTCAAGAACATTTGTGATAATGATTATTGCGAAAATGGAAATTGCTATAATAAGAAATAGTCAAATCGAAGGAAATAAAATAAGATAATTTGCTCCGAAAATTATAAAATCTTGAAAAATTAATACGCCAATTCTGTAAGATTCGTTGATATTTTATGAAAAAACTAATACTTTATCAGAAGTTTAAGAATTGAATCTTATGCTTAATATAACAATATTATTTTCGGAGGGCCGTCACGTCCTAATGACGCCATGGCAGAAGTTGGCGTTTCCGCGGGAAATTTTGAAAGATAAAATTTATTTTTAATTTTGCAACTTATTGACCGAATGATTTTTTTTTTATATATTTCATGTACATCTAATGAAATTTAAAAACCTTAACCTTTTTTTTTAAAGAAGATTGTCGTTAGGATTTGAATTCTACGACGATTCGAATTCTGATAACTGTAAGAGTACATAGTAATGTACTATATTTTAAATATTTAGTGTGACAGTATATTTTAAAGCAAATTATAGATATTTTACAATAGTAAGATAGAAAAAACAAGCACTTCTATAATGATCGTTTGACTATTATACTACTGCGTCTTATTTTAAAACTGAATTGTCCTCATTTTTCCAATTTCAAAACCTTCCAAGGTTGGCAATCTAAAATCGAATGATATCTTATGTACAGAAATCCAACCAAAATATCCGAAACGTCAGAACGAATACAACGTAATAAAGATATCCACAAATATCCATAATTGAGATAAACAAAATAGCCATGGACCTCGGTATGGTAGAGTTGTCAATAAGTGGGTCCACGGACCACGAGGGAAAATGACCGATATTGTCAGTCGACTGGGACCGCATGAACTAGATATTTTTCTCAAACCTACTAACGAAAGATGAGTGAGTGTATATAATATAATACACACACTACAGTTATTTAAGACGATTGCAACGAATCTGATCTCATTATTAAGAAATGTAGTATAGCTCAATCAATCGCTTATTATAAAAAAAAAAATATTCCATAGATTAATATAAAACTAATTAATATGCATTGGACTTTTATGTGAAGATAAATATGTAAAAAAGATGCCACGGACCGGAGTGGTATTTTTGGAACATGTAGATAAATCATTAAAAATTTTAACAGAGAGAGAGCGACTCAATATCAGGCCTTGAATAAAAAGTGACACAAAATGCTATCCATTAAAAACTTTAAGAGGTAACCTTCGATAAACAAGGTAACTTTACTTAGATGTGTTTTTTCATTACAGTTTATATGTACTTAATATTTTTATTCAGGATAAAATTTCTATTCATTTTCGAGTTTTTCGACTTATTTATTACACACATTATTAATCGTTGTATAATCAACTGTCCAATAGTGTCTGTATTTCTAGACTTCTCTTTTTAATTTCTGTTATTTTAACCATCCTTTTTTTTCTAAATAAATGATCTATAATATCAAATGTGTATCAAACACTTACAAATACTAGCTGTCATAAATATCATAAAATAAAACATCTACTATCCGTCTGTCTGTCTGAATCAAACTGTATAAACTCAAAAATACGCTATTGTGGTTTTGCCAGAAGACGCACTTATTATTTGGTTTAGTTTCTTTTTTATTATTATAATATAATAAAGAGAGAAAAACTTACATTGTTACCTTGTAACAGAAACATTTGTAAGAGAAGAAGCAACAAAGATCACGAACTAGCAAACACTGATGGATCACAGCACACAATATTTTTAATGCAACAAAAAATCATGCAACTGTAGAGCTCGATCGAAAACCAAGTAGTGTGCTTATTATAATAATAATTACCAAGTACGAGAGTTGTGTTAATTAAGAAATTATTAAAATAATACTAGTTTCATTATCATAGTTATTAATCAATTTAAGTAGTTAACCTTGATGTAATTATACTTATTTGAATATAAAATTTGACTATTCCATAATTTTATAAATTAATAAACAGTTTTTAAAGTAACCGATTCATTTGTGTTGTTTTATAATTTAAATGTTTGATAATTTAAATTAACGATAAAATAAATCAATGGAATTGTCACCTGAAACAATTTTTAAATCTACCCCATGTAATTCTAGAATCATTGCTCCAATGAAGCGTTCACTTACGGTGCTCTTGATGTAGTAATATCTACCCAGGTTAATACAAAACAAGGCTAAGAAACTAGATATTGTGAACTATCCACGCTGATCAAACAGATCGAGGAGTACGCATGCACTTGAATAAACAAAACCATGCTAGGACAACTTCGTTCTTTAAAAAAATGAGACAACGCAACACGTGTTAAATTCGTATCGTACTCACGAAGGACATCGCGCCGTTCGACGTCCGCTGAAAACTATCGTTAAATGAAACGTACTGGGATCAACACGGACGTCTCGGCGCTGAACCCGCAACACTCGCACACCGTTAGGTAACACTCGTCGCCGCTCTCCTCGAAGGTCATGGCGCGCGCGCATCGCTCGGCCCACCCGTGCCCACTGCGCTCTCACTCACCGGGTCTTGGCCGCCGCCGTCCGGGCCCGGTTTACACTCCGGCTCGATCAGGTCTCCGTACGCCGGCATCGCGTCTGTGCACCCCTCCTCTTCAGTGTCCGTGTCGCGCGAGTGTGCCGGCGAGGGCGCCGACGGGACTGCGAGCCGCACTCTAGCCAGCGCCACCGCCTCCTCCAGCGACCCCACTTCGCTCTCACCCCGCTCTTCGCCGTCGTCGCGGTCCTCTGACAAGCACGCGGAAGCTTGCGCTACGAAAGCTATCCGTCGCTTCAGAGCGCTGCCGGGGCTCGGCTCCTCCACTGGCTTCTCCATTTCAAGCTCACTGCGCTTTTTCCACGCGGCCTTCGTAAACGGAAGCGTCGCTACGGGGTGTTCGACGGCGATCGGGCTGACACTGACCGGCGGAACTGGTGTTTCCGGTTCTATTTGTTGTTGTTCTTGCTCGACAGCCGCCGCCTCGATAACCGACGCCTCAGGAGGCGGAGTCGGCGGGCCCTCCATTGTCGATTCTACAGTGTCAGTATGAGGAGGCGGGGTCGGTGTTGAAGTTGACCCGGATTCGACGGACTCCAAGCTCTTTTCGGCCGACTCTACGGGTCTTTCGGCAGAGTCTACGCGAGCGGGCTGGACGCGCTTTTTGCCGATGCTGCCCATTCGACGGATGAAGCTCCCACCGCCTTCCTTTTTTTTCTTATCGACACTCGGCGAACTGTCGGTGCTCCGAGAGGCATCGCTGGATACTTCGCGGTGCTTCTTATTGCGTTTACGCATCGTGCGTTCGTCGCGCGTGATCTCACCGTCTGAAGCGAAGGATTTCGTAGACATAGAGCGCTTGATCGAACCGATGTGGAAGGGCGACCCGGAGCGGAACGGCGAGCGGAGCGAGTTTAACGTGCGTCGCAGGCGCGAGGGAGCGGGTGAGGGCGCGGGGGAGGGCGGTGGCAGGGGGGGGTCGCCTGGCATGGTCGAGCGCGGCACGCAGACTGCCGCGCGCTCCTGATCACTCGCAAATCTCGGATAAAGTTTCGACTGGGTCCTTGGACTAAGTGGGCTTAGATGTGAGTGGGGACGTTAGCTAATTAGGGATTTAGCCGATAGTTGTTTACGTACTGCTGTGAAAACATCGCACGAAGACCTTTAAATGCCGAGGCATCAAATTAAAATATTGATAAAATAAAACCACCTTTTTGCCGCCCCAGGAAATATGACACCTAAGCGTAAATATACTTAGCTCTAGATAACTTCAAATCATATAAACGTAAACATTAATGAAGATACTTGACTTGAATTAACTAACACTCACCCAAAACATGTTCGTGAATGTGTGATGAACGAATATTTACTTCTAATGTGAGAGTGACACATTTTTCGATATTGCTGACAATAAAACAAGCACTGTAAATGTAGGGCTGGGACGTTTTTATTTATATGTCGATAGTTATTTCGGGAAAGGTAATCGATACACATGAACATCAATATGTAGATATTAGTAAAACTGAAATTATAATATTAAACCTACTATGTATTATTATTACATTTTGATTATACATTATCCGTTTTAAAAGTATGTCAAGAATCTTGTCCAGATAGAATACTATGAAAAGAAACGCTTCGCCTATATTAAAATATATTAAATAAATAAAATTGATTTTTTGAGTGGATAAAATACCAATGTTGCAGAAAATCCTTAAACAACCACAACTTTGTGATCTCGAAACATTAGCTCTACGTTAATCAGATGAAAAAGCTTATTTTGGGAAAGTATTTTTTTTTCAATTGCATCGACAATTAATGAAGTATTTTCGTCATTACAATAGAATAATTCATTTAAATTAATTATATTATTTAAGAGAGTCTAACAAGCGTTAAATTCATGGGAATAGAGTAGAGCTTCGGTATCGGTTTCGGTGACCCCTCAGCCAGTGTCCTCTAACCGTGAACGCACAACACTAGCACTCATATGGGCTCCTAAACGGAAAAGATACCATACAAGTACACCCAAGTCGTTGTACTTATATCAACTAGGATTATTGAATGATATCATTCAGAAATACTTCCATTGTATACTTATTTCTTAGCTTACAAAAGATTATTGGAAAACGTAATATTTTTTTTATTATTATTAATTACGTAATAGAAAACACGGTTTTCTTGAATAATCTGTGCGAGTGAAAATATAAGAAACTAGCTTTCCACCAGCCCGCGTGGTCGGCCCCTAGGGCATTGTGTATTTGGATATCTATTCATATCATGATATGGATATGATTACAATGACATATTGAATAATAAACAATACTAGCTGTAGTTCCACTCCAATTTTCATCCCTTTATTTGCTATTTTTCGGGATAAAATATAGCCTATGTCCACCGAATATGAGGTAGCTTTCCGTAAGTGAAAGAATGTTTAAAATCGCTCCGATAGTTTCGGAACCTATTCGATGCAAACAAACAAACATACAACCAATCAAATCTTTCCTCTTTTTAATGTTAGTATAGGCAACTGAATAGTATCATTTTTGTTGTGTTTTAGTGATTGCTACTTACGTAACGGAGCAATGAATAAAAAGTCCTGTAAATTTGTAAAAATTTTATTTATCATCGGAAGAAGAAGACAGTAAACCAGTTTGTTAGAGATTTGATTTCCCATCGAAAACCAACATTTTGTAGGTTCTTCTTGAGGTATGACTACATAGTAAAAAACAAAGTCGCTTTCTCTGTCCTTATGTATGCTTAAATCTTTAAAACTACGTAACGGATTTTGATGCGTTTTTTTTTCTTAGATAGAAGCATTCAAAAGGAAGGTATTTATGTATAATACAAGACCACGAGGGCGAAGGCGCCGGGGGCAAGCTAGTTCTCTATATGCAAACAAATGTTAGTTTTTTATCAAACATAACCCCCAAAATGCCCAAAATCCTTAGTCTTTGGATTGCACAAACACTATTTTGTAATCTGACTGTGGAAGCATTTTTTTGTGTTTAGTTGCATATAACTATTATTACACCATTTCACCATACGATTAATATATTCTTGAATATTGTATATATCCTCAGTAATTGCATGAATATAATCAGAAATTGCAAGTAACCTTAAATCGGTAGAATACAGAACGGGACGAAATGTAAAAAGCAAGTGAGATGTCAATGAAAACATTGAAAAGCAGTAGGCCGAGCCTTGAAGTACACCTGATGATATTTTGCGACGGGAGCTCTTTTAAACATTAAAGACGATATAAGAAATAGATATGGTTCTAACCTAACATTTCGTAAATTTTGCGTTCACAGTGCTTAGGTATTGATATTTATATACATTAATATTAATAAAAGAAAAGATTTCAGTGGTTGTTTTGCATTGAATAGGCTTCGAAACTTCTTTTACCTACGGGTAGATAGATATGCGTGGAAAAACATCTAATCTTCTTAAAAATATCACTAGTTCCAGATGCCCAAATCCACGACCTTACGCAATCTTATCAGAAGAAATATAATATACTAAATTATATATTTACTTGTTTACTAATGTAAAAATTGCAAGTTATTTTAACAACAAATTCCCGAGTTTTTGAATAAAAAAAGGAAGCTAAATAAATATATGATAAACGAAACCCTTCAAAACTATCAATTTCGCTAGAATCAATTAATTAGAGCAGCTTTGATACTTGTCGATATTAGGTATAATTAAGTATATCTATATACTTTTAATGACCAGAAATTGTTTACTGAGAAAAACTGAGTAAATAATTGTTTTTTTTATTAGAAAAAATAACAAAACCTGTCCTAATGTCAAAACAAATTAGGTAAAATCGTTAACATTCCTAACCACTATATCAGACAGTAGTTAGTTTCTCGAAGTTAGATTAAAACGCATATTCAAGTTGAGATCTAACAAAGCTATTATATAAAATTAATACTGTTTCTACATTCATAGTTTTTTACTCTGATAATATGAAACCTAACATTCTGTAAGCCTTAGTTGTAATTTTGTTGATATGAGATGAGAAAAGCAATTAATTGTCCAGCGTAACACCCAAATTTTTTTAAAAGAAAGCTATCTAATAGTTGATATTTGAAATATGTTTGTTTTTTTTTCTAGTAAAATTGATGTAACAACATTTATTAATATTTATAGATAGCTTATTTGAGGTACAGTAATTATATAAGCGATCCAGGTTCTCTTGAAATTTAATACAGTCTTCAACAGATGTAATTACAGAAAATATCTTTATGTCATCAGAAAATAATAGAAATTTTGAATTTTGAAAACATTCACTGACATAATTTATGTGGAATAGCAAAGGCCCGAGGTGAGAGCCCTGTGGAACACCGGTCGGAATTGGTATGAAACTAAATTTGTAGCCCTTTATAGTCACAGCTTGGGTTCTATTCAATAAATACGAACGCAGCCAGCCACCTTAGGATATTTTATAAAGTCTACGCGTGCAAAATGTAGGTTATTTTTTACTTATTTCATATCAGGAAATTGAAACTCTAAATAAAGTCATGATAAAAAATATGAGGCTGATAATTATTATTAAACAATACCATGATAACTATCCGAATATGATTCGGACCCTAAAATGACGGTTTGATACACTACCCCAAATGCGATTCCGACCCAATGGCGGTTTGCTGCGTTGTGTTTCATCTACTACGGAAAAATATTATTTCGTCATAATAAGGTTAAAAAGTGCACATTCACAATTAAATTTTATGGTTTGATTCTGTCGAATCAAACTACAAAAAAAATCTTTTGAATGCATTAATTTTTAAAGAAACTTTACAATTATCTCGAGTTTTAAAATTACGATCACTAATGGTTATCAGACGCGGCCTTTAAAATCACGTGACAGGTCAATTAATGTATGGAACGTGAACATGATTCTTTACTATATAAGCAATTCACTAGATATATAGGCAATTCATATAGGCTCTTTTTATGCCACTAAAAGTTCCTAGGGATAGAAGTACCTCCAAGGACGCCTATTTTTGTGACCGCTGCTTAAACGGTAAGAGGTATACGAATGCTATCCAAAGAAAAATTAAAGAGCTTTAAATTATCTATAAAAAAGTCGGCGATGGCTAAGGTTTTGTCACAAAAGTAAAAAAAAAATCATATAAGTGTATTTAAATTTTTTGTACATCTTTAGACATAAGTATGTGATTATTAAATAAATATGCGATAAGTCAAAGAAATTTAATGTAAGTACATAAAAAATATCTATTACACCAAATGAATTGGATGAATAGTTTAGATTTTTCTACGATGTAATTGAAAAAAAAAAACTTATATTGCCGACTACCTTAATACTTTTTTATGTGCTATATATATCTATTATAATTTACCAGCATTTTTTTATGTATACGGTAAAATGTAAATTTATAAAGACTGTGGCAAAGATATTATTGTCTTACTGATAAAAAATATGAAAGCAAAGATAGTAAGAGAGCGTTTCATGCCAAGAAATTCCTATCCAAGACAATATTGGCAGTTTTCATAACCAAGAAAGTTATCTGGAGTAGTGTAGGGCTTATGTAGTGCTGGAGAAGTATGAAAAATATTAACTGCACGGAACTTGATTGAATAAGTGCTGGGAATCATCAAGAAAAGAGTCGAATGTAAGGGCTACTGTATAACTATACTTAGTGGTTGACATTGGATTGCACTCAACGTTCAATATGTATTGTTAGATCACATATATAATATGTTTAATATATCCATTTGAACCCAATGCAAACGCTGAGTGCATTTCGATTAAATACAATAACAATTAAAATCGAAGCCAATTTCGTCACGCGGTTAGACCTGCTGAAAACCATAGAAAACAGACAAGCGAGAATGTATGGACACTACATATAACAAAACGACTTCTTTTGAACCGGACTGGAAGCCAACTAACGACAAGTAAAACTTTGAAACTTTGGTTATGATTGTATCGAGAATCATACATAATACAAAAAGCAAAA